GACCAGCTTGTGAAGATCTGCATTATTGGGATGTCTTTACCTGACCTAAGAACGAATGTGCTAGGTTATAAATCTTTACCTTCAGTGCAAGCTAAAAACCACAAAATCTCAATAAAAATAAGGTCCCTTAAAAATAACCAATTGTGAGAGTCTTAGCGTTGTAGCTCTCATGGAGTGAGTGGTGGGAATTCAGGGAGCACCTCCAGGAAAGGAGTTAGCCTGACAGTTCACAGGAACACGGCACTGCAGCCTCTTACACCCCAAGGCTTCAATTCTAGTTTGGAGAGGACATGGAGAAAGGTTGGATAAATTAAGCTGTACCTCCTTTGCCTTTCTCATCTGACTGACAAAGAGAAGATCCATTAGATATAATGGTGAACCCCTAAATCCACCACCTTGGCTGTCTCTAATGACAAGTGGTTTGTGCAAGTGCTCATAAAAAAACACACTCATTTCATAGAGCTATTTCTTCAAATTTCCATTCCCCAAAGCCCAGCCTTGATTCAACTTGGTATTACGTTTAAGCAACTATTTACAATCCCATAACTCCACCTTGGCAGTTTCCTTCAATTATGCCAGTTCCTTAGTCACCTCTATCTTACTCCAGAGGTTCTTAAGTTGAGATACACATCTTGCCTAAAACTTTATGCAATACTGTGTATTTACACATGCATCTTTGGGGGGAATTCATAGTTTTCATCAGGTTCTTAGGGATTCATGATGCTAAAAAGCTAAAACGCAGTATCTATTTCCTTTTACAAACCTTATTAGAATTCTTTGCTGAAGTGTATTACCTAGACAAACTAGAAAAGACCATTCCTCCATCAATCAGTAATGCTACAAAATTTCATAGTGCTCAGGATCGGTAAGTTTCTCAGATGGTCTACCCGTTACTTCCCCCTGCATTAATGAGCCAGGGCTAGATGGAAAGGGCAGAAAGTCTCATATAAGAAGTGGATGACAACAGATGGCAAGAAAAAGAAAAACAAACGCCTGTCATCCCTGTACATGCATCCCTCTACAATGTGACTTCAATGCTTTTCCCATCAAGAAGTGGAGTCTATTTCTCCACCCTTTGAAGCTAGGGATGGCCATGTGATTTGTTTTGGCCAACAGGGTATTAGCAAACATGACACAAGCAGATGGTTGAAAAGTGCCTACACACACTGAGTTTGCTCCTGCCTTGCTGCTAGGAACCCCGAGACCACCATGGGAAGCAGCCCAGACTAACCTCCTGCAGGATGAGACCTCAGCTATCCCAGTGACCCCAGCTGAGGTCCCAGATGGACCATCCTGTCCCAGCCAAGTTGATCCAGATCTAAAGAGTCACCAGGCTAACTCACAGAATTATAAGAATAAATCACTTAAAAAAATTATTGTTTGGGGTGATTTGTTATACAGAAAAAAACTAACAGTAAGTATTAATTAAGCAGCAAAGAGAAAATCCAAGGGTCAACAAGAGCCATGGGAGGTTCTAATCTTTGATATAAGGTTCCTTGATTTGGTCATCTTTCTCAGTTCCACTGAAAAGTTTCTATGTAAAGACTCCACAATGGCGGCCTCAATATAAGTTTAAAAAACCTCACTAAATTCTTTGGATATCAAGAAAATATTCTGCCTGAGTTCTCTTTGTCCTCTCAAAAACTTCTTCATTAACGAATGAGTCTGAAAAAGTGAATGCCACTTACTTTAAGTAGTTCATACATATAAAACCGGATATCAAAGTCTGTCAGGATCTGGTAGAGTTGCTGAAACAGATTTCACAAAACAGAAAATTAATTTAGTCTCATTGCATCTTTTCACTCCAAGTATTGGCCATTCTCTGTAAACTAACTTAGTGCTTAAGTTACTAAGGAATGCCATGACTTTTCATACCTGATCTGGAACAAATGGGGACAAAGACTAAAAAGAGGGGTCTGATATTTTAATCTTCAGAAGTGAGAAGAAAAAAAAAAAAGGAATTCCAAGGGAGAAAAACATTTAAGCCAACTTGGATCTTTACTATTTAATGCCCCATGATTTTAATACCCATGATTATATTATTGTGAAGTCTAAGTTGTCCAACTGTCCTCAAATTCTTACTGCACATTAAGTAATCCAACCCCACTATAGCACCACAGTATACTTTGGAGAACTGAGTTTTGAGTGGATAGGAGAGCTTTGAAAAACTTGATCAGCTAATGTGGTATAATAGTGGCAAGATAGGCTGTTCATGGAAGAAACACTAGAAAAAGTGCTGTAGCACTTGGAGATGGCAAGAGATTTCCAAAAATCTATACCATCTGCCCTCCCCAAAACCAATTCCAGGCTGGAAAAAAAAAAAAACATTTCACAGGCAACAATTATTATTATTATTATTATTTTTTTTTTTTTTAAGATGACTGGTAAGGGGATCTCAACCCTTGACTTGGTGTTGTCAGCACCAGGCTCACCCAGTGAGCAAACCGGCCATCCGTATATGGGATCCGAACCCGCGGCCTTGGTGTTATCAGCACCGCACTCTCCCGAGTGAGCCACGGGCCGGCCCAGCAACAATTATTTTACAGGTAAGAAAAAAAGGAGTGGTGAGTAAGGTGTTGAAAAGAAAAACACAGGGGTACCAAAAACAACCACAGGCCAAACTGACATATAAGTGAAAACTTTCGTTATTGATAATCGAAAGACCCACCCTCTGGGAATTTTTTAAAAATTCAATTTCTAAGAGTCAGAGTAACTTTTATGCAATGAGGTTTATTAAAAGCATCATAAACCCTGTCAGAATCTATATTATTACCTTTGATATTCAATCAATTCCAAAGAAATCTCTTTCCCCATCAATCCAAGCAGCATGTTCTATAAAATTAATCAACATGCATTTCTTAAACTTCTTTTGTTCCTCTATTGGAAGAAAGACTAAAGCAATGAAGGAAATCTCTCCAAGGAGCACAGAAATGTATACAGTGTGCCTGTATAACAGAAGGGAAATAAAACTACACATCTGTATTTTTTGTATCTGTAAAAATGACATAGAGGAAACCAATAAAAAGTGGTTTCACGTGTATGTGTGTGGAGGAACAGGCAGTTGGGGATAAAGAGGAATAAAGGAGACTTCTCACTGTATACAATTTTATATTTTTGATCCATGTAAACACATTATCTGTTGAAAACAAATTTTTTAAGAATTTGCCAAGAATTAAATTTAACGTTTTCTAAGAACACTAGGACTTAGCTTCTTTCTCAAATTTCACCTTTTAGGTAAGAATAATTCTCTCTTCCAGCTTACTAAGAATATTTGATTTCATCAACCTCAGACAGCTGCTGGCTCAGGGCACAGAAGGGAATTAAAATGTACCGGCCAGTATACTGGTGGTGTCTTGGAACTGCTCCAATACTGGTCGCTGACCCTGGTTGGGAATGAACCACACTTAGGCAGAATGGCAAACAAGCCACGATTTCTGCTCAGGAGAGCTTTGACTACTTCACAATCAAATATTCAAGAGGTTTTTTTCTCCCACAGCTCTGCAGTACAAGGAAAGCTTCTTAGCCAGTACTCAGCTGCACATCGACAGCCTGAATGTACAGACACAGGTTTAAGATACCATCTCTTGAGTATCAAACAGCACTTCTTCTCTGAGTTAAGGAGATCACTCACAAACACTGTGCTAAATTGAACTTCAAGTCAATAAATAGCCTGTAAAAGAAAAAAGATGCAATTTTCTAACCCTCAGAGGGCCAGAATATTTTATTACCAAAAACCAATATGGATATTTATTTGGACTTCTATCTGTGGAAGTCTTGCCTCTCATATCATACAGTATCTATGCCAAGCACCTGCATAAATGGTGTCAGGCATAAATAAATGTTCTTGGACTGCCAACATAGCATTTCTAGCTATTCGAACCAGTACCAATTTTATTTAACACAAAAGACAGCAGTTGTATAAAAGTGTTTAGACCTAAAACACTATATAAAGTCCTGAATGACTAGCTGCCACTCACCTTCACTTCTCAAGAGCTCTGGGTGGGAGGAGACTAAACTACATCTATAACATTGAACTACCTGGGCCTAAAATTCAAGACTCTCCAGAGTCCACAGTCTGGCTTCCTCCAACCTCTGCAGCTCTGCTTTCCACTGCAGACCCCAGGAGGAGTCCGCCACTCTGACCAAACAAGCCTGTGTTTGCCACCTCCACTCTTCCCTCTCCATTGCTCACCACTGCCATCTGGAACACCCTGCCCCACCCTCTTCACCTGTAATGTCAAACCCATCCCATCTGTTTTCTACAGAGCCAGTGGTCTCTCCTTTCTCTGAACCCCCACGCCATTGACTCTCCAACTAGGGTGTACAGATGACACTGACAGCAGCAGCATCCCCAAAGTTAAATTCCTCACTCAGGTAGTAGCAGTGACCTGAAGTTCTTGAGGTAATTCTTCACTCTGTTGTAAACAACAAGAGGCTGCTTCATTTTTCATACCCCAAGGGTTCCATGCCAACCTTCCCAGCATACACACATGATAGGGAGAAACAGATACAATGGCTGGTGGTAGCCTCCAATTTGGTGATTCAAGATCTCTGAACTCCCCCCATCCCCCAAGTATTCCAAGGGTCCACTGTACCCAAGAGTCCACTGTATGACTCGGCACTATATCTATTTTTTTCCACACTGAACTCTCCAACCATAGTCTAAGTCCTCATATAGCAGAACAGCATATGCTTTATACTCCACACCAAGTATGGTGGTTCTCTGCCCTGCACATGTTTTTTATAATGTTCACCAGTCAATGGAAGTATCAAAAGTCCATGACAAATTAGAACAGGAAACTTCACGAGAACCACACTTTCCCTCCAATCTTCTCAACAAGCTATGTGGAGAATATTATTAATGAACCAATTGCAAAGTGTTGGCAGGAAGTTAGCTTTGCTTACATTCTCATAAAGTGACTTATCAAAAACAAAACAAGCCTATTCTTCCCAGAAAATTATGAAGGTAGTGAGGAAGAAACTACTCACCATTTTCAGTTTGGGTCCAAAACCTCAAACACCCTCACATTTGCCTAGAAATGAGTTCTGCTATAGGACTCCTCTAAAGGTGGAAACATCCTGGGCCTTTTGATTAACCCCAAAAAGTCTGAGGAGGAGAATGGCAGAAATTGCAATTTTATCTTCAGACTAAGGGTCTCCTTGGTCTAAAACCAGACACCCAGAATGAAACAGCCACAGGTGGGCCACATACTGTATGCATACAGAGTTCTTCAGGCTCCAGCTGTGGTTCAGGTTCATCATGATCAGCCAGACTCCAAGGCCCCATCCTCAACAATTCCCATTCATGAGGACTCACACTTTAGAAAAAGGTCCCTCTGGTCACCTGCCAGATGTAGGAATCACTAACACAGCAAATTGTTACTCTACACACAGAGCCTGCACATTCCCTGACATACACAGCTCAGTCTATGTCCAAGAAATCCCAGTGGTCCCTACCAGGGAGAAGAAAAAGTGGGAGACAGGATAGAAAGTGAAAGTAAAAGAGGTGTTTGATGCAGCAGTGACCAGTTTAGGTATTGTTAACATGTAACCCCCAAGATCCAGACTAAATCCAAGGTCAACATTTTTAGAAATTTAAGAAAGTAGAACAAATCTTTAATCAAGCAATTCAAAATTACTATAAATCACCTGAAAATGTCACTTATTTTCTTAAAGTCTTACAAGGAAATGACAAAATCATGTTAATGACCTAACAGTACATTTTGTTCCCCCAATTAAGGAATCTGTATTTAGTCTGTGAACTCAAACTCTAACAGAATTAACAAAGCCTCACAGTATCAGCTAGTTGAGGTCTATATGTGAGTATCTATTTATTTATTTTTTGTGACCGCTAAGGGGATCGTAACCCTTGGCTTGGTGTCGCCCACACCACGCTCAGCCAGTGAGTGCACCGGCCATCCCTATATAGGATCCGAACCCGTGGCCTCGGCGCTCCCAGTGCCACACTCTCCCGAGTGAGCCAAAGGGTCGGCCCTATATGTGAGTATTTAGAAATTCTCCACTATCAATGCAAATCTATCATTTCCTTAGGTTGAAGCCCAGAGTGTCTTATCAATCTTTAAAATGTCCAAATGATATATATTCCTTAAAATGTCTATTCATTTTGATTTATACTCTTCCAAAGGCATAGAAAACTGAAAAGCACGTCTCAAGAGAAAGTTTTTTTGTGCCTCAAAATTTGAACCTTAGCTTCCCTCGAGACATTTTTGAATTTGGGAGTTTGCTATAACTATTCATTCCAACTCTTAGAGACTGGCTTTTCCTGTTCATTTGTTTTGAAGTTTTGTCTTTTCCAAGTATCACGTTTCTTTTATTATTATAGCTTTTACATATATATAGCAAAACTGCTGTTTTCAAGGAGAAATTGACCAAACCAGTACCTCTACCATAAAGTCAAAAGCAAGGAAAAAAATTAGTAAGGCCATAGTAAATTAACAAGCTTGGTATAAAAAAATGACCATGTATTACTGAAGTCACAAAGAAACCATCAACAGATTCCAAATAATCAACACTATATAGCTCATGTTCTCTGGACACAGTGCAATCAAATTAGGAATCAACAATAAAAGAATAAGTTTTTAAAAACCCAAATGCATCCTGGATCATATATTCAATCACACTTTTATAAAGGACATGACCAGAATAATAATTACTGGGAAATTTTTGAATATTAACTCAATATTAGATGGCATTACTGTATAAATATTAAATTTCTTAGGTATACTAATAGTAGTGTGATATATAAGAAAATGTCCTAGTTTCAGTGCTAGCATACTTAGGAGTGAAGTATGATGTGTCTGCTACTTACTTTAAGATGACTCAGCAAAAAGACAGATAAAGCTAAAGATAGAAAGCAGAAAAGGAGAGAACTGCAAATGTGGCAAAATATTAACTGGTAAATCCTGGTGAAGGATATAAGGGTACTGATTGTGCTATTCTTTCCAATTTTCAGTAGGTTTTAAAATTTTCAAAGTCAAAGTTTAGGGAGAAAAATCCAAATCCACAAGTTTGGAATTTGCCTAGAACTTCTAATTTGAGATCTAGAAGTGAGTTCCATAACCATCTAACGAAGCTAAAATAATGCTTGGGGTTGTACAGACTTAAGCACCTGTATTATTAATCAGAAAAAACAGAAACAAATCAAATGAGCTGACCTCAACTCAAGAAGTTAGGGTGAAAAACAGGGAAAGCCCAAGAAAGTTCAAAAGAGAAAAATAATTAAGATAGGAGCAGAAACATAATGAAATAGACAAACTAACAAAAACAACAGCTCAGCAATAAAACCAAAACTTGGTTCTTTAAAAGGATTAATAAGAGATCTCAAAGACTAATTTAAATTTTTTTTAAATAAGGGGATTAAAGGTTACAATCATGTTAAAAATGTAAAGGAAAGTAAAATTACAGCTATATTAGAGTTTTTAAGGCCTAAGAGAATTCTATTAACAACACTATGCCAATAAATTGAAAGTGAGTAACTTTAGAAATATGTATTATCCAAACAGGCTCAAGANGAAAAAACAGAAACAAATCAAATGAGCTGACCTCAACTCAAGAAGTTAGGGTGAAAAACAGGGAAAGCCCAAGAAAGTTCAAAAGAGAAAAATAATTAAGATAGGAGCAGAAACATAATGAAATAGACAAACTAACAAAAACAACAGCTCAGCAATAAAACCAAAACTTGGTTCTTTAAAAGGATTAATAAGAGATCTCAAAGACTAATTTAAATTTTTTTTAAAAAAGGGGATTAAAGGTTACAATCATGTTAAAAATGTAAAGGAAAGTAAAATTACAGCTGTATTAGAGTTTTTAAGGCCTAAGAGAATTCTATTAACAACACTATGCCAATAAATTGAAAGTGAGTAACTTTAGAAATATGTATTATCCAAACAGGCTCAAGAAGAAATAGAAAACCTGGATAAAGCTTTAACCTATAGTTCTAAAAAGGAAAGTACAGTACAGTCTTCCTTCCAATTCTGCAAGACATCTATCCTGATAATACATACTTTATACAAACTTTCAGAGAATAGAAAGAGGAAAAGCTACCCAATTTATTTTATGATGTTAGTATAACTTTGATATCAAATCAGAGAAGGACCCTACAATAAAAGGAAATTACGTACCAAAACTTATTAATTGCACTAATAAAAAAATACTAAAAAGAATGGGCTGCACACTGTATCACTGTTGATTCACTCTGATATTAAGCCAGGGACAAACGCTCTGTAAGTGATACCTTAAAACCAGTTATTAAATGCACTTTAAACTAACTTTCCAATTAAGATGGACATAGGAGAAAATAAAAAACCTGAAGGATATCCAGGACATTAAACCAACTGATTTCCCTGTTGTGGCCTGTCATACTATCTGGAAAAGAAAATAATTTTCCTGCCATGATTTGCTCTTGCAAAACACATTTTGTGCCCTGATATTTAATTTTTTAAGTTTACTAAAATGTCATGGCTTGAACATTCAAAGGGGACCTCCAGTTAAACATGGCAGATCAAACTCCTGTGCTTCTGCATGAGGCTACTCTAAAATAACAGTAAAAGGAGGGCGGGGGGTTAACTCATAAGAACTAAGAAATGAGAGAGACAACATTTTGAAGCTAGAAAACATGTCCAGGTGACTTAGGAGACCAAAAAAGCTAAAAATTCTGCCAACAGTGAAGGCGGCCCAGAAGCAAACACCTTCAAACTGAAGAGCTAAAAAAGCAGGAATTGGTGACCCCAGGTATTGCTGAAAGAGAATAAAGTAAAAACAGAAATAGGTTCACACTGAAAAGTGAAGGTCTGTATAACACTTCCCAGAGCTCTCTTCAACATGAAACCACTAGAAAGCCAGCAGCCAAGCTTATACCTGGAGACAAGAACTGACAGCTCAGCTCTTTAGAGCATTACCCTAAAATATGAGAAGACATTCAAGAACCATGACAGTTCAGACAATTATAACAGAGACAAATAAAAACACATACACAAAAGAATTTGGAAGACAGAGAAAAGGTATAAGGGGGAAAAATATAATATTCTCAGTGAGAAAATATAAGATATTACATAAAACAGAAAACAGCAGGATACTGTTTTTAAATTTCAAAGACCAAAATGGAGCTCTAAGACATGAAGTTTAACATTTGAATGAGTTTTAGAAAGTGAGAACAAAGAAGAAAGGTGGGGAAAAAAAATCAAAGAACATTAAAAATATTTTTCCAAAATGGAGGGACATCAGTTTCTAGATTGAAAAAGCTCAACAAGTATCCAGAACAAAAGATGAAAGGGACCCATATGAAGGCACATCATTATGAAATTTCAGAAGGCTGGGAATGAAGAGAAAATCCTAAAAGCTTCCAGAAGAAAAAAAAACAAAAAACAAAGACAATCACATAAGATGAAACCAGAATGGTTTCAGTGGTAATACTAAAAAATCTTTTCAAAATTGAGGAAATTATGAACCTAGAACTCTATATCTGAGCAAATACATTAATTGGAAGGATAAAATAAAGATATTTTCAGATATGCAAGCCTCAAAAACCATTAATTTCTAATGATTCTTTTAAAGAAAGCTACGAGAGGATGTTTGCTTTCACAACATCCCCTTTGAGGGGTAAACCCCCGAGAAGTTAAGATTTCCCTAGGGAATTTAGAATTCCCATTAACCGATCTTCAGCACATTGTTAAATTAACAGAGCAGATGTCACCTGAAGAAACATAAAATGCTTAAGTGAAATTTTATGTGTGTGGCTCAACAACTGGTAAAAACTCATTAATGAAGCACAGGCATTTAAAACTTAGGGAACTGACTACAAGTTCCTTTAAGACCAGCTTTCAAACTTTTGCATTAGGAAACTGTTTGGTTTCATTAAAGCCTGTCTAGTTCTTTAAAACACAGACACATATTCCCAATCATGCATACCTTGATAAACCTGGGTGATTCATATGGTCAGCTACACATACTGGCATGGTACTACTCTACTAGCTAAGCACCTCAATGCTTTTGAATGAAAAAATTTACATCCTACTTTAAAAGTTCACTATTTATTTCACCTGTAAGGAGTCACATTAACAAGAAAAATTGTCACATACGGGAAATGCTATACTGTATATAAAACTTGATACTTATTTTGTTAAGTGCAAATATCCTCTTTTGCTTATTTTTCACCAATTAGCCTTATTTTAGAGTCATTTTAGAGTGATCACCTAAGGAAAATTAAAAATGAGGATAAGGTTCTTTTATTTTCACCTAAAGCATCACTCCTAATATCAGCATCTTTCAACTGCTGATTTGGTTTTGTCCCTATCACAACAAAATCGCAAGTCTCTTATGTACTGACAGAGAGTTATAATCACCTAAAAGTCCTCTAAATGCCCCTGAAAATCAACACCATTTTCTTGTTTTTATATTAGTTTTCCAATTATGCTCTAGAAGAAGAGTTTCTACCATGTTCAGTATGTATGCCTAACCCTAAAAATCTTATTAGAAGTTAAGGTTTCAGTGTTTCAACAATAAAAACAAATTCATGAAAAACAAGTTTAAAACCATGCTTTTAAATGGACACTTCAAAGTCTAAAATAACGTACATCATAAATATAAGAAAATGTAAATAACCCAGAAAGGGCTCTTCTAAAGCAGTGACTCAACTGGTTTATCTGTATCATTTGCTTTGTACATAGTATGCACGAACATGTATACTCATTATTTGATAGCCTGAATCCAATGTACTGCTTGTTTTCACAAGAGCCCTGTGGGCTGGCCTGTGGCTCACTCGGGAGAGTGTGATGCTGATAACACCAAGGCCCTGGGTTTGGATCCCATATAGGGATGGCCGGTTAGCTCACTGGGTGAGTGTGGTGCTGACAACACCAAGTCAAGGGTTAAGATCCCCTTACCGGTCATCTTTAAAAAAAAAAAAAAAGAGCCCTGTGTGTCAATTTATCCCTTCCTATTAGCAATGTAAGATTTCTTATGAAAATCGAAGTAAAAAATACTTTAACATCCACCTAAAGCTATGCTGAGTGTTACAGATGAGGCATTAGCTTAGACCTAGCTGAGCAACTATTCCCAAAGTAAGCAAGGCAAAGGGTGGTGAGTAATTTCACCAAATGCAAGAACTCTAACCACTTTCTGCATCTTGTGCTCGCTATTAGGAATCCAATATGTTATTTCCTACTTTCATCAATGACATCCCTGGACTCCCTGTGTTCTGGAGCATCAGCAGTACCTATCATCCCATTAACCCCATGCCAGAAAGAAAAAGTATACGCACCTTAAAATCTGTATTATTGATATATTCAAATACCAAAGCTGGTGTCTTTGACTGTAAGAGAGAATATTAATGCTTTTTAAAGTACTCAAACAATAATAAATATAATTTGCTTCTGCCACAATGGCCCATCCCCAAATCCCACTTAGATTAAAAAAAAGGTTTCTCTCATCAGGGACAGGCTGTAGCCTCGTAAAATTTGATGATGTCTGGAATTTGCTTCAAAATAACTAGGGATGGTGGGAGGTGGGAAGTACATGGGGATATAGGTGTAACAAGGCTGCCCACAAGCTAATTAAATAATAAAGTTGGGTGGTGTGTGCAGGGAGGTTCATTATATTATTAATTTTACTTTTGTAAATGGTTGAAATTTTTCAGAATAAAAAGTTTTTAAAAAGGAATGTATTCTCTTTCTTCTCTTCTCTAACAACCTACCAATAGCCTTAACCAAACTGTCAATGATGAAGTGAAGATTTACACTCTGCAGGGCTCCAGTTTGCCAACTACAAAAGGACTGACACATTTTCATGTTGGTTTAGCAAGCCAGATGCATCTGACAGAATTATCATAGCTCTTGGGAATCTATCAGGTCTTTTCAGGGTCCAAAGGAAAATATACCTATCTATGAAATTATCAATTAAACTACACTGTGAAATTACTGCCTTGGCTAGATACTATTAAAGAATGTTTCGCTTTACAAAGCAGACGTGTTCCAAAAAAATCATATATACTCAAATATTTTTAAAGCACTGTAATCTTTAATGAAATGAGTACAAAATATTCACATTTCCTTTCCAGATTTTCAAATGCCAGGCTTACTTAAGTGGAGTAAAATAATGCAAACTGACAGCAACAAGCTTTCAAAAGGGGGAGAAAAGCAGGGGCCTAAAGGGTTATAGAGACAGAAAAGAATCATCTTGGAAATCTTTACTGTTGGCAACTTTTGCTCAAGGACCAGGTGAAAGTTTCCCAGGAAACAGGCCACAGAGCATGCACTCTAGTCTTTGCCAGGACAACTCAGCAGCCATGATTATATGATTCTTCACTAACCCAAAGATCGAAGGGTTTCGTGAAGACCACTAGCTCTCTCTACACACTGTGGAGTATGCCTGGTCCTTTAAAATTTAGGGGACAAGTGTTCCCTGTTGATTTTGTCAACTTCAACTTACTTGCCTTACATATCATGTAAAACATACACATACTTTAAGTGATAAATTACAAAAGTAGTAGGACAGGTAGAGTTCTGTTAACTTAAAAAAAAAAAGAAAAAGAAAAACAAAGATATTCTTGGTATTCTACCTACTGCCTCGCATTTTAAAAATTCTTCTGAAATTCATATTTTTATGATGCTCTTTTAAACATGGACAGCACTCATCTTAAGGCAAGCCATTTTCAATCATTAGGCAGTCTAGGGCTAGTCATTATAAAATCAATCTGAGCTAATCAAGATGGGATATATTTTTAATACCAGTCAGATACAATCTGGCATACAACCACCCCTTCCCAGTCTTTCCAGGGTCCAAAAGAAAAACTTCTTTATTCTTCAGTTCAACAACACTGTATAATCTTGGGCAAATTACTTAACTTCTGCAGACTTCTGTTTTCTCATGTATACAATGTGGACAACTATACCCAGCCCACTGGATTGTTGTTAGGATTAAATGACATAATACAGTTAAATACTCAGAATAGTGCCTGGCAAGTAGTAACTGCTCAATGCATGTTAGCTACTATATTATTATGAGGATGTCTTTAGCAGACATAAGAAAAACCTACTTCTTAAATAAACAAAAAACTCTCACGTGAGGAGAACAGGGAAAATTTGGGGTAGAGCAGGTAGAGGAAAAAAATGGGACAGAAAGTGGTAGAAAATCACTTAAGTTACTCCCCAGGGAGAGAAGATAAAATTAAACAGCATATTTCAAATAGCTAAAAATTAAGCATTTTAACAAAAATGTTTTCGTTGTATCTACATATACAATGTGAACCCTAATGGTGGATGCTGAATTGAAAACTAGTGTGAGAAACGGCAAGACTTCTTCCTTAAGGGGTACATAGGGCTGTGACCTGCTTAGCTCTCTAGGCCAGGTGTCCACATGGAGACATTTAATACTCTCTTGTACAAGTCCAGATTTTCAAATGTCAGGCTTACTTAAGGTGAGGTAAAATAATGCAAAACAGCAGTAACAAGCTCCCAAATTGTGGAAAAAAGGAGGAGCTTAAAGGAGATATCCAGCAAACATTTGTGGGCCGAATCGAAATAACCAGGTAACAAACTCGGGACAGGAATTTTTCTCTATACTCTTAGTTTCCATAAAAGTGGTGGTGGCTATTTTATCATTGGGCGTACATGATATTTTTCTGGTTTTCGAAACCATTCAGTAGTAAAGACAAACACTGTCATCCCCAATACATATCATCATTTGAGGTTCTCTGTGTTAAACACCTCCCCCTCCCTACACCCCAGTCTATTAGAACACTCCCCCAACCGTGAGGCACCTACCACAGGGTCCTTTACAGTGTCAATCAGCTTAATGATATTTGTTCCACCACGAAGGTTCTCCAGAATCTTAACCTCTCGTTTTATCTTCTTTTTCTTCACTGGCTTAAATACACAAGAGTAATCAGAAGTGAGACTCCTTTTAAAGTTAATAAATAAAAATTTAAAACAATGTCAGCCAATCAAATGGATAGCATGCTATCTGGTACACCGCGTTGTGTTAAAGAGCATGCCTAAATGAGAAGAGAGAAAACAGATAAAATGGGCTTGCCTATAAGAACCTTTAACATTAAGTCAAATAATTTAGACTCATATAGCTTGTGTGTTACGATCTTTAAGTAGTTACATTTAGGGCACTCAAAAATTTTGAACACCCATGTCACACTTTAAAAATAAAATCCTTGCTTACTAGATAACTGCCAAACAAACTGTTACAGCTTTGAGCAGCTGTATATCATGCATTCACAAATGGAAAAACTGAAACAAAATGGTGAGACACCTGCTCTTCCAATGAGTTACATGTAATTTTGTCTTCCAGGAGTGAAGACCAGTTCACTGACATCACGTTACAAACTTGTTTCCCAGCTGCTGGCTCACATTTCCTGTCGCCACTCCCATTTCCTTAATATCTAGAATCTGAAATCAGCACAGAGCCAGTAACGTTTCCCAACAGATCCCAATCCTAAAGAAAGAGATGTTGGATCAACAAATGAGAAAACTGATCTCTGATACAGCAGTGATTGAAAACCTCTGCTATCTGATAACCTTTCGATCTGCCGGATAGAAAAATGAAATATCTTAATCAGAAGTGCCTGCATTACACATATTATTTCTTGTCTTAAATGGGCTGAAGAATTTGAAGAAGAATAAAAGTTCTGAATAAGTGTATCACAATAAGTATGCTTTATAAGGCACTCAGAATAGTGACTGACATATATTAAACACTTAATAAATGTTAACTATTATTTTCGAGTTTTTAGTTAGTAATAAATCATATTTAATCCTCACAAAACCTCTATGTAGTAGATTCAGAAAAGGTGAGCTACTTGCCCAAGGTCACACAGCTAACAGTAGAGTGGAGGCAGCAACAAATTTGAGCTGTCTGACTCTACATGCTGTACTCTTAGCCACTCTGCACTTGTTTCCCAAGTGTGGCTAATGGAAGAAACGAAACTAAGGAAAAGGAGTGTTCTGTCACTGACACACTGTTATACTAGCACAGGCAAAGAGAGGCCAAGGGTTTGCTATAAAACAATAAAACAAGATTTAGAAAGTTTGCGGGGGGGAGGGGCAGGTGGTAAATACAACATATGACAGAGAAATGTTCATCTTTTGTTGGTCATTAAGATATGACTTTAAGGGGCCGGCCCGGTGGCGCACTGCTACAGTGCGCCGCTTGGGAGCGTGGCGGCGCTCCCGCCGAGGGTTCGGATCCCACATGCAGACCGGCCGCTCGCTGGCTGAGCGAGGTGCAGGCGCGACACTAAGGGTTGCGATCCGTTGCCGGTCACGAAAAAAGACAAAAAGGAAAAAAAAAAAAAAAGATATGACTTTAAACATATAACAAAACGGAGAGAGAAGACTATAAAACACAGAGCACCTGCATCACCTATAACACTGTGCTCAAGTAGGAAACTAGATGCTAGCTGTGTCCTTGCAAGCCAGCTGCCATGATAATGTCCACTATCCTCTTTGTCAAGGGTTCTCACTAGAGCAGATCAGGCCACTGTGTCTCTTCTTCATCTCCACTTAGGAACCTTGTTCCTTAGTCACTTTTTCATAACTAGAGAGCTCAACATTTTGCTTAAATGAATCACTGTACAGCCTGACTGTGCTCAAGTAGGAAACTAGATGCTAGCTGTGTCCTTGCAAGCCAGCTGCCATGATAATGTCCACTATCCTCTTTGTCAACGGTTCTCACTAGAGCAGATCAGGCCACTGTGTCTCTTCTTCATCTCCACTTAGGAACCTTGTTCCTTAGTCACTTTTTCATAACTAGAGAGCTCAACATTTTGCTTAAATGAATCACTGTACAGCCTGATCAAAAATATCCAGGGAAGGACATATATTATTACAAAATAACTGTCCTATAAACTTAAAAAAATGTCAGTGTTACAAAACAGACTGAGCAACTGTTACAGATCAAAAGGATATGACAACTGAATGCAACACATGATCTGGGATTTTGTTATAAAGAACATAGAAGGATAATTGGCAAATGTGTATACAGCCTGTAGGATTAATCAAATGCTATTAGCTAATTTCTGATTTCCAAACATGGTACTGTAGGGTTATGTAAGAAATTGTCCATGTTTTTAGGAATACACCCTAAAGTATTCAGGGATGACTACAATTTACTCTCAAGCACTTCAGAAATAATATATAAAATAAACTATAAATGTATATATGTACACATACATATAAATACATACACATATGTGTGTATATATATATCAGAAAGAGAGAGAGAAGGATAAAGCACATTAACATTTGAGAAATGTGGGTGAAAGATATATGGGAATTCTTACGACTTTTCTGTAAGTCTTAAATTATGTCATGAAGTTAGAAGAAAAATAAAAGCTGGCTATCTTGTATCTATAAATTCAGCTGATGTTACCAGAATATTCAATGTCTTTCAAAGTAAGAACATTCTAGAGTTGTCATTCACTACTGGAAAGCGACTACAGATCTCTGGGAATGGTAACAAAAGGTAAAAAACAAAACAAAACAAAAAAACAGCCATAAGCCTGCATATACCAAAAAACCTCTTCCACTCCTAACAGTACTCCTAACTCCTTATGGGGGTAACCCATTAAATAAATTGCTTTGGGCCGGCCCGTGGCTCGCTCGGGAGAGTGCGGTGCTGATAACACCAAGGTCCCGGGTTCGGATCCCATATAGGGATGACTGGTTCGCTCACTGGCTGAGCGTGGTGCTGACAACACAAAGTCAAGGGTTAAGATCCCCTTACCGGTCATCTTTTTTAAAAAAAAAAAAATTAATAAAAAATAAATAAATAAGTTGCTTTTACGATGCTGCCCCATACAAAGCTTTGGGTTGCTTTCCTGTTACCCTGCCACAGTCAGGCAGGCACATTGTTCCTAGACAAACTAGTTAAGAGTAAGCTGTCTTTCAATATGTCTAAAGGTAACTTACAGAGCAACTGAGGCATATTTTGCTGCCCAACTGTCACTTGTCCAACAACTTCCCAAACTACAGATTGGGAACAGTGGGAGAATTCTGAAGTGGCACAATGGAGTCACACAGCAGCTAGAGTCCTAACATACTGACAAAAGACCAAAATATTTTGACAAGAGACTGTAAAAAAGGAAAGTGACCTACAGCTCAGGACACATCCTGCTCCAAAGCACCAACAACCAGGCTGCAGGTAGCTCCCTTTAGCCTCAGTTTATTCCTCTGAACCTGAGAGATGCTCCAGAAGCTAAACCACTAATGAACTCCAAGAGAATGAAAGTGATCACTTTAATTCTACAAATGAGAAGAAGTTAGGATTTAAAAGGCCGGCATCCTAAGGAAAATAAATCATGAGTTTTACAGAAATAGGGATGCTCTGACTCTTCTGTCCAGAGTTTGCACCTATTTACCAGCACTTACACAAAATGGAGAAAATACACACATTTCCACAACCATCTCATAATTTCATCTTGCATGCTAGAAAAAGATCTTCCATCTGGGGTTCATTTATTCTAATTCAGAGAATATCTAGGAATGTACAAGAATGGAGTAAGGACAAAAGTTTAGCCTGGATGATAGCTTTATTTTATTACCTTGGTAGCATTTCTAAAACCCACTGCACCTGACCTAAATATGAATGTTATTTGAGTAGTAGTATTACCTGACAGCAACTTTCCCTCTAATTTTTCAAGTCTTATGATTCCAATTACACTATGAACTCTTTGAGGGTAATGTTTATTCTCATGATTTAAAAACATTTTTTATTTAAAAAGGCAAGGTATAAAGTCAAAATGACAATGAGATATCACCACACACCCAGTAAGACGGCTGCTATCAAAAAACCAGAAAATAACAAGTGTTGGCGAGGATGTGGAGAAACAGGAACACTTACTTGTACACAATTGGTGGGAATGTAAAATGATACAGCCACCCTATGGAACGTTCCTCAAAAAATTAAAAATAGAATTACCTTATGATCCAGCAATCCCACTTCTGGGTACACACCCAAAAGAAGTGAAGCAGGGTCTTAGGGAGGTATTTGTACACCCATGTTCATAGCAGCATTATTCACAACAGCTAAAATGTGGAAGCAACTCAAGTGTCCACTAATAGATGAATGGATAAACAAAATATAGTACATACACACAATGGAAGATTATTCAGCGTTAAAAAGCAGGAAATTCTGACACATGCTACAATATGGATGAACCTTGAGGACATTATGCTAAGTGAAGTAAGCCAGCTGCAAAAAGACAAATACTGTATGATTCCACTTATATGAAGTACTTGGAGTAGTCAAAAACATAGAGATAGAAAGCAGAATGGCAGGTGCTAGGGGGTAAGGGGAGGGAGGTATGGGGAGTTATTGCTTAATGGGTACAGAGTTTCAGTTTTACAAGATGAAAAGAGTCATGAAGATGGACGATGTTTGTACATTATGAATATATTTAATACCACAGAACTGTACATTTAAGAATGGTTTCGATGGTAAGTTTTATGTTATATGTATTTTACAACAATAAAAAAGTTGGGGGGGAGCAAGGCATAGACCAGGTCTTTTGAATCTCATCAAGAGAATGGTTACAAGCCTTTTTACTACTGGTTCTGCTTCTAAAATCATTCATTTGGCCCAACTGTAATACTGTTATCTCTCAGGAAAGAAAAACACTTTGAGATTACTAAAACACTATCATCTATACCTACCCATCTATCTGTGTTTCATCTGATTCTCCAAACAACCCTGTGAGTTCAATAGGAAATGTATACCTATTTTACAGGTGAGAAAATAGTCAAGTGGGTATAAATGAAGAAGCTCATTCTAGAATCCAAGTCTCCTGCCTTCCATTTATAGCATTTCTTACAGTATACTATTCTATGAGGTGGCAGATCCTGAAATTAGGCTCTAGTAA